CGATGGTAGTTATTTTCCTCCGGCTTAAATGGTTGAATAATTCTAAACTCTTAAACTAAGTATTGTATATTCATATTTGTTTGTGTCTTTATTTTGCTTACTGTTGCATGTTAAATCATGGTAAATAATCGATTTAGATACCTAATGAATGGCTGCGTGTGTTTCTTTGACATGAGCTATATTTCTTATATATATGTTATATGCTCTGTGTATAGAATTATATTTAATAGTAAGATGGTGTTTAGTTGTTATATTACTTTATGATTTGGAATTTTTAACTTTGTTTTTAAATGATATTTAATATTGTAGTTTATGAAAATATTTTATACGTAGTTTAGAATTATGATATTTTTATTGTTGTGAAAATTCCGGTGTCGTTAAAAGTAAATTTGCAATTCCTATGAATCATTGTTGTATAGAATATATAAATAATGGGGATACAGGGATTTGTTATTGTTGAACATTTGTAAATCCAATATATATTTTGATCGATATTAAAATCATAAGGTTGATGATTTTTAAATAATGGACACTTTTAGGCAGTTTCTATTTATTTCTAGCACTAAAAAACCCTAGGGTGATTTTGATTTCAACGATTGTATTGTTTTCAAGTTTGTTATAGAAGAGTGTGCTGAATATGCATTAGGTATTAATATTATATATTGTGGTTTATTTCGGAACGGTGTTTTTTGTTTGATGTAGATTTATTACTGTCTTATTCGAATGAGATTCAATTAATTAGCTATTCATTGAATTGAGTCCAGTTTGACTCAATATGTTTCTAATAAAGACAAGGAATATGCAGCTGAAAAGGTATCGATTTCTTACACGATAAAATAAACCACTATAGAAACGTTGGTGCCTTTTCATATTTTCTATATATTATTATCTAGGTTTCTTTTTATCCACCGGTCTTGCTCTTTTCTATTTCATTTTTTCTTTGAAGTATCTTTCTTCCAATTCAGTATGGGTTCTCTTTCTGGTTTACAAATTGGATACATTGAAAACTCAGTTTGTGTTAAGGTTCTCCATTTTTGGAAGCAGATAAACTTCTTTGGGCGAACTTTGGAGCTGATACTTTGTGATGATCGGGTAGTAATTTGCATAATTTAATTGAAATTTTAGTTAACTTTGCATGTCGATCTTCTATCTTTAATTTCTGATTTTATGAAAATTTATTTCTCAATAGGGAACCCAGATCTCGGCCACTATCATGCCAGATAGACTACGGGTTTCTGAAAACTACTTTAGGCAGGGTTCCTGGTACGAGGTATGTAGATTTGAGTTGAGGCGAGAGTGTGGATCCGTGATTTTGTCTGATTACGAACAAAAGATCCAGTTTTGTCATTTGACTAGAGTTAGGAGATCTGAGTACGGTCCTTCTGGATTGTTTCTAAACTGTCGTTGAAGGATTGATATTCGCACTAGAGAGTTTGAGACTGGATCTTTAATTGGTATGATTTTTGTTTTGAAATTTGCTATAGCTATCCAATACATATTTATTGAATATTATAATGATTGCATGTGTGGTATATTAAATTTTACAGATGTTATAGGGACCATTGTAAGGATTGGGATACTTCAGGATATTAATAACGACGCATACGAAGAAGACTTGTGTTTTATTCGTTTCGAGCTCAGCGATGCGAGGTAATTTTTTCATAATTTGCTCTTCGTTGTTAATTATGACAGCGTATGTTTGTTGGGTTTTATTGTTTGGTTGAAAAAAAAAACTTATTTTAGGAAGGAGGGTGTGGTCACTTGCATCGCCAGAGGAAGCTTTGCTAGAGACTTTGTTCGTGCGTAGGAACATAATATTTCTGAATCAATAGTTTGTGTTATGAGATTTTGGAGAGTATCAAATGGTATAGGTGAGATTTCTATTTGTTTTTGATAGAAACTGTATAATTATTGTGTTCAATTTTATAAAGGTGTTTCATTTTCTACAAATTTGATTTGGTGTAGGCGCAGACTATAAGGAAGTTGTCTTGCGTTCTCATTATCCATGTTCTGAGTTCATGTTCAATCCTCTCGACGATGATGTTCGGGAGTTTCAGGAGATGTGCGTATTTCTGTCTTATTATTTTTCTTCTGATTGTACCTTTGCCTGGGGGTTTTCAATTTTTTAATCTATTGGTTTTGATATTTTGTAGTCGTGGTTCTCTCGGTGGTCGGACTATTGGTGGATAAGTCGACAAGCGTTGGCGGTCTCTAATATGGAACTATATAATAATTGGGTTCAAGACTAAATCATGTTTTTTATTATATTGTTTGGTGCGATCGCAACAAATGTACAATTGTGCGATACTAAGTGTGTTTCTGTAATATATGATACTGTATTTCAATTTTAGTTTCCAGTTTTTGTTTGGTTTTTAACAAGTGATATATCGAAATGTACAACATTATGTTGAAATTACGTTATTGTTTAATAGTAGATGGTCGATGATACATTATTATATATTTATATATATGTGTGTGTGTAGTTTGTTTTTATATAAAATATATCACTAATGAAAATATATAAGATAAATTTATAAGAAAAAAGTCCAGAATGTATTTTAGTTCATTTGATATATAGATCCAATATATTTGTGTATATGTATATATATGAAATTATTAATATAAAACCCCATCTTGCAAATAGGTTTGCTGTGTGATTTTGCTTATCAAAATATACCACCAAAAATTATCGCTGTTAGGCGTAAGAGCTATAAACCACATCGATCTGCTCTGCAGCGTATGCTTTAGAACTATCTATATGTCTAATCATTATATTAGTTCTTTGTTTATAAAACTTATAGGATTAATCTGTGGTTTTATTTTAAAAACTTTTTAGCTTTTGTGACAAGACAAGAACGTTATGCTCCTTCTTATGCGGCAATAGCTGTATCTGTTTCTGCGACTTCTCAAAATCATCATATAAATCATGAGTATGATGGAAATTTACGAAAATTGGCTTCTAAGCTGGCAAGACAGAGGCGGATGGCAATACTTAAAGAAAGAAGGAACAAACAGAGAGTAATTGGTTAGTTTTGTGTATATCCAAAGAAGCATTTGAGGTTTTGAGCATTTGATTTTCAAATCTTTAAACATATAGTTTACCTCAATTTAAAAAATATTTGAACATTCACTACAGCTTCCAACGGCTCCAGAATGGCGACGACGGAGAAACGAGCTCGGAAGAACCAAATGAAGATCGACGGTGTCTCGATCGGTGACGACAACAATAGAGGAGGGGAGAGGAGAGTGAAGTCGTGGATCAATTTCTGATTAAATTCAGTAAGAGTAAAATCGGTAATTCAATAATAACAAGAGTATGTAGATTATTAATTAATATAGAAAATTATAATTTGAGAGAGAGTAGCATATGAGATCATGGATTCATGGCTCCTTTGTCGGTAGCTTAAAATGCTTAGCTTAAAATGCTGCGTTTTGTATATTATTTTCCCGCGTGAATTTCTCCCCCTTTATCATCGACAGCCCAACACAGGCGAAAACCTAGCTCTTGCTTTCGCCATGGACGTAGGAGGAGAAGACAAAAGCGATCTCCAGGAAGACCTAATGGTTGAAGAAGATTCTATGGATGATCTCATCAGAGACCGATTCAGACTCTCCGCGATCTCTATCGCCGAAGCCGAAGGTTAGTCTCTCTCTCTCTCTCTCTCTCTCTCTCTCTCTCTCTCTCTCTCTCTCTCTCTCTCTCTCTCTCCCATTTCAATCGATTCTCAAAATTTTCTGGTGGAGATTTCATTTTGATTTTACCATTTGTATTGAATTGATGTTTCCTATCGATAATCGAACTGGATTTTCCTTTCCGCTAATCAATTTGGCTTCCGATAATCCGATCAGTTTTCTTCTGGTGGACGAAGACGAACATTACCTAAAATGTTTTAATCGATGGTCGACATTCTTGGTTTTCGAATCAGATTTGGGAATTTCCAATTCCCTTGTAGAATTTGATGAATCAATTTATTAACGAAGCTGCTTGAAGCTTAATTCTACAAAGTTGATTTGAGCAGCGAAGAAAAATGGAATGGATATCGCCGGACCTGTTGTAGCATGCTTGTCAGATTTAGCCTTCAGATATACAGGTACGATCACTGTTCTTAGGATTTGAAGAACCCTAATTTAATACTATTCATATCGAATCTTAATCTTAGCTTCAGGGGAATACAGATTGGTCAATGGTCACTGCTTTGGAAGTAATTTTTTGGGTTGTCTAAGGATTTCTTCAGTGGCGACGAAGTGTTTTTATTCTTAGGCGTTTATGTGTTACTTAGCTTAAAGAAACACAAAACCTGCAAATTGAAAAGCAAAAGAAACGAATCTTCTCTACGTATCTGGCGTAGAGACTGAAATTTTCTTGAACATGATGATTTTGGTTAATGTTTTAATGCTAAAACAGTTGTAGAAGATTAGATTCATAATGGAGGAATTAGACCAAAAAAGAGTCTTGTTTTTGAGTGTTTTAGTTTCAAGAATAGCTTTGCCTAAAAAGTTTTGCTTATGTGTTGTGGGAGTAACAGAGAATCTTGCAAAGGACCTTGAACTATTTGCTCATCATGCTGGACGCAAAGTTGTGAATATGGACGACGTTGTTCTCTCCGGTATAAAACTGTTTCTCTTTCTCTCTCACACGATCTTCATGTTTGTGTTTTGGTTAATTCTGATTTTCATCTATGTTTTCTGGAATCTGCAGCGCACAAAAACGATCACTTAGCTGCGTCTTTGAGGTCATTGTGCAATGAGCTAAAGTCAAAGGAGCCACAATCTGAGAGGAAACGCAAGAAAGGATCAGCCAAGAAAGATGACAAAGCCAGTAGTACGCTCGCATCATCGATCTGTAAATAACTAATTACATAATTTCTATATATAAATAGACACAAAGCTTGATGAAGAAGCTGTTAAATGGTTTTATTTATTTATTATTATTGTAGAAGACTATTGCATTAACTCTCTCTCACTTAATAATATCAAAAATTATCCAATCAGAAAATCTGATGCTGCGTAAATAGAGAGAGAATATCTGTATATTTTCTGTAGATTTGCATATATCTCTTAGGGATTTGTATTCTATTTTTCTGCAATATGCTACTGCGCCAAAATGAGAATGTAAGTTTGGTTTTGTTTGAGAATTCGCCTTGGTAACAATGGCACCTTCTGATTCTTCTCCGACGAAGCCAGAGGATGGTTCAGGTATTTTTCTGATCATTTCGGCTTGTGAAAAGTTGGATTTATGATTTGTTCTAGGGTTAATGTAACAAAAGACATTTTAATTGTTTTCTGTTGTAGGTAATGGAAAATCTCATCACGAGATCGGTGCTGTAGTGATTCAACAACAGATAGATGAAGTTGAGAGTGATAAGGTATTTCTGTTTTATCAAAGCTCTAAACTCCTCAATACAGAGTTGTGATTGAACTTAAAGTCTCTCTTGTTGTTGCTGCGTGAGATGTTGTCTCTATTGTATTGTATCTCAAGGTAATTTCATTCTTGTGTCATTTCGTAGAACGCAGAGCCATCACACGATGCAGGCAGTTTCTACGAGCCTGGACCGTATACACTTTGCTGCGGTCCTGAAGATTACGATAATTATTTCGATAATCCTCCATGGGAGTGCGAGCCTTCCTTTAACCCTCCTTCTGAAGAGGACGAGGACATGTACGCCGAGGAAGAAGATGAATACAATACCTACTACTGTCATGTCAACAATGGTGGCTCTCTGAAAGAGGTTTGTGATGAAAACGGCCACGTGGATGGTGGAAATAACGGCGAGGCTGAGTCCACTCGCGTAATATATGTCCCATCTCCAAAGGTGAGACTACATGATTTGGTTTTTCTGTTTTGACTCTTGTGTCAGTATGACACAACACAATACTCTTGTAGGTAGGTTTAGTGGTTGGTGCTGTGGCGACTTTAAAGTATCTTCAGTCCAATTTTGGTGACCGGATCCGTATTTTGAGAGATTCAGAGGTTGATATGAAACGTGCACAAACACCAGTGGTAATAACTGGAACTAATTCACAGATTGAGTTCGTTGAGCAGCTTATAGACGCAGTTTTAGTAGAGGTTGGTTATGTCATTAGCTTAATGTCTTAATTTTTATTTACTTTTTCGACTGTTTCAGATTTGTTCTGTGGTTGTTGTCTGAAATTTTGGTTATAATAGGAGAATCATGAGGAACGCATGGAAGAGGAAACTGAGAAGCCATCTTCTCAGAAAGATTGTGATGCTCGTAGTGATGAAGTTCTTGCTGAACAAACACACTTGTGATGCAGGAACCTCTCCAAGGACATGAAGTTGAAAGATGTTGAGTATTTTAATTTGAAGTTTGATCAGATTTTTAGTAAACATGATACACATTTTTATAAGCATGCCAAACAAACTCACTTAAAGCTATAGGAATTTATAAAAAATGAAAATCTAATCTGAAACCCATCAAGGGTTCTACGGAATAAAATACTGTATGTGATGATTTACTTCTCTAGGAGGAACTTGCTATAACTATTGCTAAAAATCAATCTAAATATTTTGAAATATATTCAGAAGACATTTCTAAAAATAATATTTTGTTGATCGTTTCTCTTCAATTATAGTTCTTTAGTTAATTGTAGAGATTCTTTCATGATTTGTCATTTCTACAAATTTCTTTATAATATTCGTTTCTTATTCATTTTTTCACTATTGTTTCTTCTACCAATGGAAGAATCTCTTCTATTGCTACCAACGGAAGTCTGTATCTCAACGTGAGGGTGAAAGAAAAAGAGAACAAAAAAAGCAAAAAACCTGAAAAATCGCCTTCTTGTTGAAATCAGACAGACATCGCGTCCCGGACAAAAAAGACGACCAGATCCCATTTTGTCGTCGACTCGATACAAGAACCAATCCAGCCAAAAAAATTAGACTTTTTAGCTTAGGAATCTGAAATGAGCGAGCTTCACACAACGCCTAAGAAACCCAAACTGAAAAGAGAAGAAGAAGAAGAAGAAGAAGAAGACGAAGTCGAAGCTGATGTCGCTTCCAGAGATGAGCAGGAACAGATCCTTGTCGCTTTAGTAGACCACCGTTCAGATGAAATCAAGCGTCTCAAGCATCACATATCTAACTACCAAACCAAGGTTCTCCTCAAAAAAGTTTCAACTTTTCGTTTTTTACTTCCATTTTTTGATATCCAGAGTTTGATTTGGGTTTTCCTCAGCTTGTTGAATCAGAAAAAAGTCTGAGAGACTCAAAAGCTAAGTTAGCTCACCTTCGTGGCCATGATGATGGAGTTTCAGTTCCATCTATTAGTAATTCAAAGAAAGATTCTGAACCATTGAAGACTCTGAGAAACGTCAATGATGATGAATCTTCAAGAAACCTTACTCCTTCTAAGAAAGACTATCCATCTCCATCACGTAGCAAGACCCTTAAGCCCTGTGATAGCTCTGATCCTAGAAGTAGTAGTAGTAGTAGTATCTCCAAGTCCAAGGCCAAAACTGTTGTTGTGAAGCAAAAATCTGAACCATCTTCTCGTGACAGTCCTAATGTTAAAGCTAGCCGTGACAGTCCTAACGTTAAAGATAGAGGGACGAAAAGGAAATTCGGTAAAGCTCTTTGAGCATTAGTTTACTTTCTTATATATGTTTGAGATTTTAGTTTTGACTGGTTTTTTTGTTTGTTCTGTGTCTCGTTATTGCAGAGCTAAAGGAGCATAAAGAGTTGATTCGTTTGATAGCAAGAAACTCTTCACCAACTACAATCAAGTGTCATACCAGCAATCAAATCTCTAGTCAGCACAAGAGGAAGCTAAGGAGCCTGATTCTTTGTCCTGTAAACGAGCAGCTGTTTGCAACAAGGTACAAGACGACAAAGACCCATTAGTTCTAATGTTGCATTTAAAAAATGGGTTTTGTAATCTTATATCTGTACTTTTTTTTTTGTTACTTATGTCTCATTAAGTTCTCTAGATGGCATGGTCAGTTTATGGCAACTGCAACCTGGAAGGTCGGTTCTTTCTTTCTTCCCATTTTAGCTATTCTCTTGTCTCAGTGGATTGTAGTGGAAAGCATTTGCTATGTTGATATTAGTTCGGGACTAGTCTCTTATTGGAGGTGAGATTTGGTACTGGTAAGTTTTGGGTTTATGGACTCAGATATGGATAGAAGTATATGTATTGACATATGAAACTCAAACAAAAAATTTTGTTTTGTCTACGGTTGAGTATCTTTCTTTGTTGTCTATATTGTAACTAAACCAAACAGAAGGATCAAACAAATGGAATAAGCTTGTTACAAGGATTAGTATACTTGATAAACATAACACATGAAGCATATGTGCTAATGCATTATTTAGATCCCCCAGCTTAAACTAGACAGAGATTCAACTTTAATGGTTCCATCCAAATTTTGAAGAAATCAAGAAACTATGTAAACCAAGATTGAGAGCCTAACTAGCTCAAAGAGCTCGTATCTTTCCATGTAAAGGATCCATCCGTTGTGAGCTCTTACGTTTCTGTGCGCTTTATTTGATTACAGATTAGCTGCATCATTGCTTAGTACCACCGACTGTCTATCTCGGAAACAAAGAAGATGGGCAGAAGATATAGCCTGGCACCCATCTGGGAACACCCTCTTCTCTGTATACACTGCAGACGATGGGGACTCTCAGATATCAATCCTAAATCTGAACAAGACACGCGGGGTAAATGTTTGAAACTTGTATTTGCTTTTCCTTGTAGTTGCTTAAACTAGCTACTTTGTTTTGTGTGTTGAAAGGTTACTTTCCTGGAGAACAAACCTCATGTAAAAGGGATTATAAACAACATAAAGTTCATGCCTTGGGAAGAAAACACATGCTTTGTCACTGGAGGAAGCGACCACGCCGTTGTTCTATGGAACGAGAGTGATAGTGATGACGAAGCAAGCAAGTGGAAGTCGAAAACTTTACACAGGAATCTACATTCAGCTGCTGTGATGGGAGTTGATGGGATGAGGAACAAGAACATCGTTTTATCCGTTGGAGCGGACAAGAGAATATACGGGTTTGATGTTCATGTTGGTAGAGCAGACTATAAGCATCAGATAGACTATAAATGCATGAGTGTTCTCTCAAATCCTTGCGACTTCAATCTCTTTATGGTTCAATCCGGGTAAAGAAGAAACTTATTCAAATATGTTTTTTTTTTCATTTCTTTTACTTGTGATTTTCACTAAAACAGAATCTCGACAGGGAACCGGAGAAACAGCTTCGACTGTTTGATATCAGGTTAAGGAAAACCGAACTACACTCGTTTGGGTGGAAGCAAGACAGTAGTGAATCACAATCAGCTTTGATAAACCAGTCTTGGTCTCCTGATGGTTTATACATCACCTCTGGTTCAGTTGATCCGGTTATTCATGTTTTTGACATCAGGTAACAAAACTCTTTTCACTTAAGTCTAATATCAATGGCTCTCTGTTTATTTGGTAAAGTTAAAGATGATGCCTTTACTCACTGTGTAAGAAGCTCTTGCAAGTAGATGGAAGCTAAGTTTTCATATTACATTGGATTATGATTTAGGTACAATGCTCGTAAGCCGACGCAATCGATAAAAGCTCATCAGAAACGAGTGTTTAAAGCGGAATGGCACTACTCTCAGCCACTTCTGATCTCCATATCTTCTGATCTCAACATTGGTCTGCACAAGATCTCATGAACAACTTTGAAGCTCTCACATGTTCTCTCTGCTTCTCATTTCATATATAGTAAACTTACTATAGATTTTTACAAATAGATTACAACCAATTTTTTAGTTTTAGGCATAAACATCATTTACATGTTGGTTGAACTAAAAGTTGCCTTAATCTCCCACTTAATTTCACTTTTATAGACGAATCATTTTCCTAACATTACTGTTCTGCCATGAATTGGCTAATATCATCTTTTGTAATTGTCATTTCTGAGAAAATTAAATTCAGAAGCACCAGAAAGAAAGAACAAACAAGAAAAAACTGAGATAAAGTCTCAAACTTTTGGTTAAAATACAAAATTCTCCAAAATCTGTCTTATTCGGTCGTCAATTTGAAGTTTTGCTTTATAGGGAAGTTGCTTCAGTTCGAGCTAGCGAATGGGTTTTAGAGAGATGCAGAGAATCTCCAATTCCATCTCCGGAATCAGAAGATTCTGTGTCACCGCTCTCTCGTCATCTTCCGATTCAAACCACGTTACTACACTCACCGGTAAGAATTTTTTTTTTTTTTATATCCGGAGCAGACACTTCCGAGGATTCCATTGTCTAAATGTGTTCCTTAGGGTTTAACTTTCCTCTTCTGAGTCTATCTGAAATTCATCAATCTCCAGTTTTCTGGGCTCCTTTGTCTCGATGTTCAAAGTTTCTCTCTTTCGCAAATGTTGATTCATATATGGTGAATACGATTTGGTGATTTTTTCGGATTGTCATTGCAAAGTTTCATGCTTTATTGTTCCTTTATGTTGTAGATCATCGGACATTGAAACAAGTTCTTGAATCCTGCAAAGCTCCATCAAATTCAAACTGTGTTCTTCAAGCACATGCTCAGATCTTTAAACTCGGATATGGAACATACCCTTCTCTCGTTGCCTCCATGGTTACAGCTTACAAACGCTGCAATCTCTCAAACTTTGCTCGCCGGCTTCTTATTTGGTTCCTCTCACTATCTCCTGGTGTCTCTAACACAAACCTCATAATCGAGAGTCTCATGAGAACAGGAGAGTACGGTTTGGCCAAGAAGGTTCTTCGTAAAGCGAGTGATCGTAATGTAATCACTTGGAACTTGATGATTGGTGGTTATGTGAGAAACGTACAGTACGAAGAAGCATTGAAAACTCTCAAGGATATGCTTAGTTTCTCGGATATCAAACCGAATAAGTTCACTTTCGCTTCTTCTTTAGCTGCTTGTGCTCGTCTCGGGGATCTACACAATGCGAAATGGGTGCATTCGTTAATGATTGATGCTAAAATCGAGCTTAATCCAATACTATGTACTGCGCTTGTCGATGTTTTCGCAAAGTGCGGAGATATAGAGACTTCCAGAGAGGTTTTCTATAGTGTAAGACGCAACGATGTTTCGATATGGAACTCGATGATCACTGGTTTTGCTACTCATGGACTAGCTAAAGAAGCGATCAGAGTGTTTTCAGAGATGGAAGATGAACATGTTTCGCCGGATTCCATAACGTTTCTCGGTGTTTTAACAGCGTGTAGCCATTGCGGGTTTCTTGAAGAAGGGAAAGAGTTCTTTGATCTGATGAGTAGTCGGTTTTCGATACAGCCAAAGCTAGAGCATTACGGAGCCATGGTTGATCTGTTAGGTCGAGCAGGAAAGGTCAAAGAAGCGTATGAGTTGATAGAATCGATGCCGATAGAACCTGATTTGGTTATATGGAGATCTCTTCTTAGCTCATCAAGAACTTACAAGAACCCCGAGCTAGGTGAAACCGCGATACAGAGTCTTTCAAAGGCGAAAAGCGGAGACTTTGTGTTGCTTTCGAACATATACAGCTCCACGAAGAAGTGGGATAGTGCGCAAAAGGTCAGAGAGCTGATGAAGAAAGAAGGAATCCGTAAAGCGAAAGGAAAGAGTTGGGTTGAGTTTGGAGGAGTGATACATCGGTTTAAGGCAGGAGATACATCTCATGTAGAGACAGAGGCTATATACAAACTATTAGAAGAGTTGATACAGAGAACTAAGTCACAAGGCTTTGTGCGTGACACTGATTTAGTGTTGATGGATGTCTCTGAAGAGGAGAAAGAGGAGAATCTGAATTACCATAGCGAGAAGCTCGCGTTGGCGTATGGGATCTTGAAGAGTAGTCCTGGATCAGAGGTTAGGATTCAGAAGAATATAAGGATGTGCAGTGATTGCCACAACTGGATCAAAGAAGTGTCGAAGTTGTTGAATAGAGTGATTATAATGAGGGATCGGATACGGTTTCATAGGTTTGAAGATGGGTTGTGTTCTTGCAGAGATTATTGGTAAAGAGATAAACATCAAGAAGTGTTCTTGCAAGAGATAACAATCAAGCAACTTTGTAAGTAGAGTTTGGTCAATGAAAGTTTCAGTTTTGATGATACATTTGTGTTGAAGCATGAATCTGGGTTTCATTTTCATAGATTCTCGACTGTTTCTACAATTTGAAAGTTTGGGAGGTTAGTTTCCTGAGACTTTTGGTTTTAGGGATTTATTTTGAAATTCTCAAAAGTTTTAAGGACTTAATTGGAATAAATAGTATCGTAAAGTTAGTGATTTATCGGAGGATATACAGTAATGGTGAAATTGAAAACTGTGGGAATTGGAAAAAAAAGATCCGACCTGCCGGAATCGAACCAACGACCTAAAGATCATCTGTTGTAAACAACTACAGTCTTCCGCTCTACCAACTGAGCTAAGGTCGGTTTGTGATGATTAGTCTACTCTTTTCTTTATAACTGTATCATTTATAATGCAACTCACTCTATTACGTAAAAATAAATATAAAACGAAACGTTTCTAAATTTTGGGGAAATCATATGGAATATAGAAAACTAATAGATCGAAAATAAATTTATACAAGATCAAAGAATGATCTTGATGGATTTTTACTCGTTAGACATTATGGACAGTTTAGGTTGCTTGACTTAGATGTTTCTACTCTTCTTCCCATCTTGATGGACTTGAGTTTGTTGGATTGCTACTTTAGCGCTGAACTCATGAAACCCTTTGAAGCTCAAAGGATCTGATAGGTATGAGGCTATCCAATGATACAAGCACAAGCTTCTCGTTGGACTAGTATAGATTTGGTACGAGCCTACGGTCCAATTCTTTTGTTATGACAATAATATAATTTGTTGTGTGAAGCAGATTATGACATATCTATTTATCTGTAAGGTTTTTTTTTACCAAAAATGATTATGATATGCTGCTTCGTGATATCTAAAAAAACTGACAAATATCACGTTTTTTTTGTTTTTACTAGATTTTCTTTCATCGAACTAACATAAACGAAAATCATACCATCTAATGAAATACAAATCTTATATTCACTATGTTTTCTAAAGGAGAAAATTTTGAGGTTTTTACAGTGTTTAAAAAATTTGTTAAAATGACTTGTTTATATTTTTTTTTAATGATATAAAAATAAAATAAAATAAGAACAATGAAGAAAAAGTAAGGACAAAATAGGTGTATAATATAGTAATGCCAATTGTCACTTTTTGTTTTTGTTTTTCTATTTCATCTGTATTCTTTTTCGCTGAACAAATATAAAAGCAATGTTTCAGTTTTTTTCTCCTTTCTCTAATAGATTATCTTTCGTTATGTCTCTTATTTTATATTATTTTAGATTTCTTGTTAACTTTTAAGAGCTGACTATCTCATTTTTATGTTTGGAAAACTAGATTCATTTCTTCATATTTTTTTTGTTGCCAATCAAACAGAAAATTATGCACTATTTGTTTTTATGAAATATTTTTATATTAATGGCTCATTACTTCCTTCCCTAATGCATCGAACCTCAAACCGTCACCACTATTACAATATGGATTCTACTCTCGAGGATATTCTTTTTGGTTATGCGGATGGCAACTTCACTTCTCTAAGAGAGTCAAACCTAACATTATTATTTCACCAAACTTTTAATACCAAATTTAAATGGTATTTACAACTTAAAAAATAATATTTACCAAGTTTTTACTAACAAATATAATATAATAGATTGTAAAATAAAAATAGTTAATGTATTAATATCCACGCAAACTTTCTCCTAATTTATATATACTGTATTAAAAAAGTAAGTAACGTTCCCTTCAAACCTAGCAGTTCATTAATTTCATACAAACCTAGGATAAAATCATATAATGCATAGCATAATGCATCCAAAAGTGGTTGTTTTTGACAAAGATGGGAGGTCGGAAATTCCAAAAAATGGTCGATTCTTTATTTTGTTTAATTATTACGCATGCAGATAGAGTGATACAGAACTAGTTCGTGAAGGGTTCACTATGTTTACATGTCAACTAAGTGGAAATAAAAATGACTCTTTTTTTTTGATAATTTATAAAAATGAAAATGACTTATCCATTTTGATATATGAAACATTTTTGGGAAACGATGTTTAAGGAAACGTCTACACAAAGGAAGTGGTGGTGCCACTGCCATTACAATCGATCATGAAGCAAAGTTGCATAATATAAGATGTAGAAACTTGAAAAGGATCAAAATCGAACACATAATTGTTTAAGAGATGGAATCATCGAATGCATAAATGATGCAGGTGCTTTAGCTACTTCAATCCTCACATATACTTATATCATTATAGTATATAGGTTATCGATCCATAATAGAAATGTTAAGATACTAATAATCCACTAAACCACTTAAGTTAAACTAAATTAAAGGTAAATAGTGATCATAAGCAATCAAACTAATAAGACTAAATAGAAGAAAATTCAAAATAGAATAATCAAATAGATAAAAGCAGGACTCAAGATGGGGTTATTGATGTAGAGGGGTTTAGAACAAACTAATGATGTTTCACAAATCATATAACAATGATATTTCCTAGGCATAGAATTTAAACATAATAGATTAACCCAATCCCTTGGGGGAAACCTGAAGATGTGGAATCAGCAAACAACTCAGGCGGGATATCAGGATACAGGAAGGAAGCTTGTAGCTGATGTGGAGCTAATGACGTGGCAATCCAAGGAGGAGCTTGGAGAGCACGCAAGGAGAACAAATGAAAACTTACCTTACGAGAGTTTGGTAATAGGGGTCTAGGTTTAGGCTTCGTAGAGTATATATAGTTTGAAGTCAGGTAAAGTACAAAGACACACTTTGCGCCGCAATTGATACAGCTTTACCTTGTACCTCAAAGAAAGACATAGGAAGAAGGTTAGTGTCCTCTTCTCTGATACACGTGTTGTGGGATCAAGAGAAGTGTAGGTTTTGTTACTAGGAATCGTTTGGTTGCTTTCTAAGAGTAGAGTTGCATAAATCCAAGCAATTGTAATCAGTTGATTAAATTATTGATTCGAAATAACAAATCCTAGCGTTCGACTTGGCGCTTTCCAAGTCATTGATTGTGTGTGCCTGTTTTCTACACTTACAATTGGTATCAGAGCAGGCATCTGCTAAAGAATTGTCTGTTCTTATTAATCAGGTGTGATTGTGGGACAAAGTATGGAAAACATGCAACATCTTGGTCCGAGCAAGTCTCTGGTGCTCGACGCAGAAAATTACGGATGGTGGAAGGTTCAGATCAAGGCTCTCATCAAAGGATATGATGAGGATGCATGGACCATGGTTGAAGAAGGCTGGACAAAACCAACTGTTGTTGGAGCAGATGGAGTGAGAAGACCCAAACCAAGATTGACCTTGACAGCAGAAGAAAAATCCTGGTCTAAATTCAACTCCAAAGCCTTGTCAATAATCTTGACTCCCTTACTAAGGATCAGTTCAAGAAAGTCTAAGGGTGCACCACGGCTAAGGCAGCGTGGAATACACTACAGACCGCATATGAAGGAACCTCTACGGTTAGGAGAACCCGGATGGACATGTTAGCTTCACAGTTTGAAACGCTGACCATGGAATCAGGAGAGTCAGTAGAACAGTTCAGCGGAAAACTCAGCGCCATTGCACATGAGGCTCAAGTACTTGGGAAGACATACAAGGATAAAAAACTGGTCAAGAAGTTTCTGAGAAGCCTTCCTGACAAATTTCAATCCTACATATCAGCCATTGAAGTTTCAAGAGACTCGGATGATATGAAGTTCAATGAAATCGTGGGGATGATGCAAGCATATGAGATGAAACAATCTCAGAAAAATCAGGCAAAAGGGAAAGGTATTGCGTTCTCGGCTGAACAAGGCGAATCTCTGGAAACCAGTCTAGATGATCAAGTTGTATTGATTGTCAAGAAATACTTTAAGAAGTTCGACAGAGGTCAACGCAAGTCAGGATTAGACGGAAGAAGATCAAGTTCGGAAACCAGGTCTGAACAGAGTTCAAGGAAGTCGGAAATGCAGTGCCATGAGTGTGAAGGATATGGACACTTTAAAACTGAGTGTCCAACCGCCAAGAAGAGAATGACGCTCAAGTGTCAGAAATGCAGTGGTTTTGGTCATATCAGGGCTGAGTGTGTCACTCAAGAGAAATGAAAGGAACGGTCTTTGATGATCAAAGAAGAGTCTCAGTCAGACAGCAGTGAAAGGGACGAGGAGTCTCTTCAGAACTATGTGGCATTCCTTGGAGTAATCAATGAGGGTGCGGATTCTGGGGGAGAATCAGATAGAGATGATGGAGAAATTCTGGCGGAAGAAAACCGCACTCTCTGTCTGGCTATGGTCAATGCTAGTAAAGAAAAGGAAGATATGATGCAGCAAATTTCGGATAAAGACAAACAGATCACAACATTGCAGGGCAGTCTTCAGAGCAACACTCAGATAATTGAAGAAAAGGATGACAAGATCTTTGCCTTGCAGTGTGAGGTTGAAGTTGCTGAAAAACAGCTTACCGAACAAGTCAAGTTCTCAGACTTTCTCAAGAGTCTTCTCGCTGAAGAACAAGAGAAGAATCGGGAGCTGAATGGGCATTTGTCTGAGCAGCTCCGAAACATCAAGATGCTATCAAAGGGAACCAAAGATCTTGATAAACTTCTGAGCATCGGACAGTCAAGCAAGAGCAATTATGGCCTTGGATATACGGGGACTACGCCTGGTCGACCAACTCAATTTGTTCGTGGCTCAGAACTTCCTCAGCATAGACAGTCACCTGTGCATCCTAACAGACCAACTGGGAAGGCGGCGGTCTCAGGAAACAGTCCAGTAAAGCAACCTGAGAAGTCAGCTGCACGGAACAGAGCCGTAAAGCACAACGTCAGTGAGGTCTACAGAAACGGTAGACTATCTGGTTGTTATTACTGTGGGAAGCCAGGACACATCAAGGTCCATTGCTATCATCTTCAGAAAGACATTCAGCACCTAATCAGCCAAAATCAGTTCTTCTGGAATAGAAAACATCGGAATCAGGGATGGATCAAGAAAATGCAGTCTGGTGATAATCGTGCTCTAACAGTTGTGCATGCAGGACAGGACTCAGAGGATGCCCCATGGTACTTTGATAGTGGCTGTTCAAGATACATGACAGGTACTCAGGGCGAGCTGAATGGGATAATTAAGGTGTCAGCAGGCAGAGTTACCTTTGGAGGTGGTGCTAAAGGAAAAATTAAAGGTGTAGGAGGAACATCGGGTCCAGCCAAACCACACTTATCTGAAGTTTACTTTGTTGATGGGCTGAAAGCTAACCTGATCAGTATCAGTCAACTGTGTGATGAAGGGCTCTCAGTTCGCTTCACTAGGAAAACCTGTCAAGCAGTAACTGACAATGAACAAA